TACTTCACCTACGTGTAAGATTGTATAGAGGTTATATGAAAAAAAACTATTGAATCTAACCTAAAGTTAACACATATTAGAAAACAATCAAATAACTAACGCTTGAAAAATTATATTAAAATTTTGTAAACTAAACAATAGTGCTCACAACCAAAACAAATAACGAAAGAAAATACTTTTGTTATGGATTTTCAAACATAGCCGTTTATCTCCAGATAGCAACGTCGTAAGAATCAAGATGATAAATGGTTTAACATCATTTTCATTCTACGTTCAAATATTGTTGTTAAAAAAATTCTTAATTTCACTTGTTTTTGAGATATCGGTGGTGGACCGTTTCATCCGCAGACCTTTAAGCCCCGTTCTACCCTATAGAGTACTGTTCTTACGAAAGATGCAAAACAGTCGTAGAATGTAGGGTTGATTGTGATGCTAATTGTTCCCGTAGCTAATTATAAATATTTCTTCAACCACCCCGGTCCCGTTCTCCCCTATCGACATTGATCTTGATTTTGATCTTGATCTTGATCTTGATATTAGTATGCGTAACGAATTGTGTCGTTTTTCTACCTCGACGCGTGTGTAAATAGATCGAACAGGTCCGCTTGCGGAAGTGTTGTCTAAGTCTCGTTCGAATGCATTTTTATTTTTTAACCGGTTAGCCACGATTGCCTGCAATTGCTGTTTGCTTTCGCTGTTTATGAGAACAGCATTCTCTGCACTTGAATGGCGCGATTAGGCAAACTGCTACGGGATGAAGTCGTTTGAGTGCGACCGGTGAGGACGCCGGACGGCCGAATGACCTACCTTAAAGTGACTACTTTTGACATGACTAGTATTTGGGTCCGAGTGTGATATTTATAGAGAATGGATTGAAAATTTTGTTTTGTGAATAACAGTGAAATAACTAGTGGTGCATGGCATTGTGCCTTGAGGCAAATTGCTGAAACTTTCTTAGACATATGCACATTAAATTATCAGATATTTTAACAATAAGTATAAATTTCGTTTACATTCCTATGGGTTCCGTACCAATGTTCATCCGTCAGACGGCGACGCGGCGCTTACGCGCTTTGACAGTTCGACTCTATGCGGTTAAAGCAGTACGATTGCTTTAAAAAAAAGTTCAGAATGTCAAAATGAAGAAAACATCTTTTTTTCAAAAAAAAATTTTTTTTTAAAAAAAAGTAATTTTTTGTCAAATTTATAGTTTCTCAAAAATCTAATTTTTTCAAAGTAAAATTTTGTCAAAAATGTTAGTCTTTTTAAAAAAAATAATAATTTTTGGTACGGGAAGTTGCAGCAATTTGCCTTAAGGCACGATGCCATGCGCCTCACTAGTTTTTTTTTACTCTACTAATCATCTTGGCGAAGCTGTGGAATTGCTAATTTGCTTTTTTAGCAGCTAACGTTTGCATTAGTCGCAAGCAGACCGGATATATGATCACAACATTTAACACGACAGTTAATTAATCGCAATTATATTTGTCTAATGCGATAATGAATATCATTAAATAAATCGGATTACCATCAAAGAAAAGTTAATTATGTTTATTTATATGTTTAAGCTTTTAATCATTTTATTATAGCATAGAATAGCAATATGATAAAGGTAATTTAAATGTTAAACTATATGATAGAGGTAGGTCTAACTTATTAATTGGAAAATTGACATTCAATTGAGTCTAAAATCAATATTTAAAAAAATTTAAAAGATTAAAGGCAGTTACAATTTTTAAAAAGTCAAAGTCTGACTGAAATAAGTTCAATTTGCATTATATAATCTGCTGAAAATCAGTTGGTATTTCTGATCGATTAATAAAGTAGCTTGAATAGATCCCATCTATGGCACTGTAATTTTTCTTAAACTGGGGTTTGTAGCTTCATAGTAAGCCTGACTTTGTAATCACAAAATACCATGTTCGAATTATCGTTTAGGACAACTTGATGTAAAGTGGTAATATATATTTTCAATCTAAAAAAAATCTGAAAACATCCATTTACAGCATTAAGTTAAAATATATCATCACTGTTAGAAAAAAATTAATAAAAAATAGGGTAGGGTGGCGTACAAAAAATCCAATTTGATTTTAAGCAATTATATTATGTAAACCCAACCAATTATATAACAACAAATACAACATAACAAATAACTATCTGACTATGTTCAGTAAAACACCTAACAAATCCATCATTGTAGAAGTTTTTGCTGGTTTTCAAAAAAATTGTCACTTGTTCTTTTTACCCCATATGCGGGGTAAAATGGAATAGCCATGGAACGAATAGATCCAATGTCTTATTATTAATTTTGAAGGAATTTTGCGTAATAATAGCTAAAATATTTAATCAATCCAAAATATAAATTATATGTACAATAAATAATACTGTATATATTATGTATATATACTGTATATTAACCTTGATCTAGTATTTTGTCAGAACTATTTATCAGCAGTAAAATTGCTTTTTATCTTATTCAATTTTGTCTTATTGTTCACAGATTTACCAGTGTGAAGGTTTAGTTGCATGGTACTTTAGCTAAGGATGGTTCTTTTTACCCCTCCATTATTTGAGCTATTCTATAGGTTGAAATAAACTGTTGAATCTGACATCAAAATAGCAATACATCTTATAAAAGAATTAAATAACGTACACCTAAAAAATATATTAAGGTCTCCTAAACTAAAGAACAGTGCTCACTGCCAAAAAAACTATCAACGAAATAAAATACTTTTGTTATGGGTTTTCAAACATTGTCGTTTTTGTACTGATAGCGACGTCGTAAGACTCAAGGTGATACCTGGCTATACATCGTTTTCCCCCCTACTTTGAAATATTGTTGATGAAAAATTCTTAACTTTACTTGTTTGTGAGTTATCGGTGGTGGACATTTTTAGCCGCAGACCTTCAAGCCTTGCTATACTATATACCAAATTTTAATTGAATAACTATTAGGGTGCCTTCTAAAAAAAACAAAGAAAGAATTCATTTCAACAGGTTTTAACAGTTTTTTCTGAGGCTAATTAATTTTAATAGTTATAAAATTTTATATAGGAACATTTGGCTTGCTATTCCTATTGCCTGTTTTAATTCTTATTTGAGTAATATTTATTAACGTGCAAAAGAAGATACGGCTGGTTTGTTAGTAGATTTGAAATTAGAATTTATACAGCGAATTTACGTTATCCAATGGCACAGTCGTGAGCAAAATCTTACCGTTTCATGTGGTATGCTTTTACATTATTTTTTTTCGACAACCGGCCCCAAGATTCTAGAAGTCGTAAAGTAAAGTAACTTTCCTTTAATTTCTAAACATGTTTTAAATTTGCTGTCATAACAATGAGAGCCATTTGTTTCCTCAGGACTGCAGAAAATCTCGCTCTCATAAACAGCGAAAGCACAACACTGTCGGATACTCGGTCATTTCTGGAATATATATATATATATATATATATACTCGTATATATATATATATATATATATATATAACAAAAAATGTACACTACTTCCGGAAACAGATCCGTTCGATCTATTTACGCACGTGTTCACACAGAAAATATGGGATGCGACTTTCATCTTATTTTTGTTGTTGCGATAAGAAACTTAAAACTACTATGGAGCTAATATTTATACTTCAAGAACAAGAAAATAAATGCAAGTACATCACTCGTGAATTCTTACATATGATATACAAATGAGTAATTGAAAATTCAAATTGCAAGTGAAAAGCTTTTTTCTCTTTATTCCAGAAGTTCACAAGTCACAAATAAAACGTTACTAAATAATCATGAGTATTGGTAATTTTGTCATAGCACCTATAGCTCATACTTCTGAGGATATTTTTCTCATATTTTATTCAAAGGGATTGCGATTTGATTTTACAAACATTAAACCTTTTTTATATACGTAAAACTCATTATATGACGTGAGATTATACCAGGGCCAAAAATTGCTCATAATTTTTCTACATCATTAAGATTAGTTGATGCAACTTTATGATCTTTATGTTTAGAACTTAAAGATCCTTATGTTTAGCTTTATAAAAATATCATTAGGATTGAAATTAAACAATTTATAATTGAAACAAAAACAAAATTCTAAAGCAATGGTACTTAAAAATTATCCGATTATTAAATCGTCAATATGTGTATTATAAACATATTTCTAAAAATCGAGTAAAAAAAATTATTTTATTTCTTTATAGCCTTATATTGAATATATTAAATATTTTTGATTAACGATATTCGTTAATTTAATTGGAAAAACATCTTTGTTTTCAAATAAATTTACAGTTTTCTGTATCAATATCTGTGCTTATAACAGCTAAAATTAATTAATACTAAAAATAAATTAAATATTTATCGGAAATAAATATATGCATGAGTATGTGTATATATGCTGCAAAATACTATGGTAACATATGTCGTAAATAATAAATAATCTTTTTACTGTAATTAGAAAATAATTATAAGTAAAATACATATATTTAGTAAGGTACAGATTTATATATATTACATCTATTTAGTGATGAATTCTATGATTATTTAATTCATTTCTAAACATTTTTAATAATTAATAATATAATTTAAAATAAAAAACAGTATTTTATTAATAATGCATAAATATTTATTAACATTCAAATAAATAACAATAATTTAATAAATACACTCACTTATTTGTTATACACATGACATCATTAAATTGATGAACTTTTATAAATATAGCGATTACCCGCTAAACATTTACTTCTTTTTCATCAACGAAATTAACGCAAGTTTGCTGGGGTAGAAACATTGCTTCAGCTTCGTTAAAAGAATAATAGAAATTTGTTTTTTGTACAAGACAAGAAAAGTATAGATCACAGAGTAGAGTAAAGAGACAGAGGAAAGTAGAACGAGTAAGCACCTCCACCTGAGGGTGCAGGCGTGGTGCTTTCGAAGAAGAGTTAGGCAAGATTGTTTATAGGGTTCTGAAGTTCAACGGTCGGTATTGACTTAGGATTAGTTTTGGAGATGCTCTGGCAGTTCGAAGTTCATGGATCTGCCGTAACCACCACCATAGCCGGAATGTCCACCATGGTATTCGTCATGATGGGTGTAAATTGGTTTGGCTATGATTTCGTGAGTTGATTCGTGGTGACCGTGGTGAGTCAAAGCTTTCAATCCAATGATAGCAGATAACATTAAAGCGAGCTTTCCTACCATCAGAGCTTTGGCGGCGAGTAAAGCGAGAGCGCCCATACCGATTGCCATCAATGTACCTGAAGAACAAATAAAATTGTTATTGAATGAATAGAACTGATCACTAGACAATTACTGATCATATTAAAACAAAAAGATTTAAATAAGAATAATTTAGATATTTTATAAATTTTCGTTTTCACCTTTCATCATAACAGCTGCAGCAATGATTTCTCCGTAACCGCCTTTCTTGCCACCGCCGCCGCCGCCGCCGCCGCCACCGCCGCCTCCACGTCCGGTCACCAAGGCACGAGCCTCGTCAGCAACATCAGATTGAAGTAAGCGAATTTTCAAAGTGTGACTGGATAGATATCCACTGAGCTTTTCCATCAAGTAACCATCCAGACGTTTGTCAGGATCATCAGGGAAAGCACGGGCCATTTCTAAAACACAAAGCATTAACAAGTGAAAGAAGCGAAATGTTAAACTATTTCATTGCACGGGAAAACAATATACCGGCAACAATTTCGGCGGTTTTCGTTTCGTTGGCGGAAGCGTCCTTGACTACGCTCACTCCAGGCAATAATCCGTATTCCTCGGTTTCGGTTAATTTTTCAATGAATGAAACGGCGTCCAATTTTAGGCATTTCAAACTGTATCCGGTATCACAATCACGGGTGAAAGCACGTTTCATAACTTCAGGATCTGATCGGACGTATCCTGTGTTGTTTGCCGTCACATAAACGGTCGAGGCCCAAAGGACCATCGCCGCCAAAACGAAATGACATTTACTATGCATTTCGTAAACTTATTTATAAGAATTAGTTATCCTTCACACTGTTGTTAACTGAATGCCACTTTTGTGGTACGCTTCTGTGCACACTGATAACTACACTGACTACTCGGAACGCGAGACCAACTATTTATATGCCGGCGCGGCTATCGCGATACTTTTACAAATAATACAAAAATTTTACTATCAGTCCCAATAAGTACATTATAAAGTATACCGGCGTAGAAGAGCTTGTTATGCTAATTCATATCAGGCGGCTTCTATAGACCCATATTTTTGATAACCTGCTTTCTTTCATTAACATCCGAAGATGCAAAACATTTATATGCATATATTTAAACAATTAATACTAATGAAGAGGTGTCGCTTTGCAGAAAACGTTAGCCAAAAAATAACGAAGACATTTCTATTTGCTATAAGTATCAAGATAGATATTTCTGTGCAATTTGCTACAATAATAATAATTATTATTTTTTACGTGTTTTTTCTTATTTTTTAATAAAATATCACTTTCAATGATAATTTAATTCAAGTCAAGTAAGAAGCGTTATCGATACTTTTGTAAATAAATTATTTAATTATTTTTTATTTTTATGCATTGATTTAATACTCAAATATGAATTAAAAATTTAAAGTGTGATATAAACGAATGATGATATACTACATAATTTGTTAAGGTAATTCGGTTATATAAAAAGTAAAACATCATGTTATAGAATATTATTTTTTGTATAATAGAGAAATATTTAAAATGCATAGCAGCATTATAAAATAATTAAAATACTTCATTACCATAACGAACTTTGTTAATGACTTAAAGTCAAAGTAACATTTTGACTTAAGGCAAGTTGCAATAACTTTCCGATAGATATCTTTATCAACCGAAATTGAGATTTAGATATTTAGATACAATTTTTAAATGTTTATTTAGAAAATTAATTTTGACTTTCACTTAAATCTAAGCATTGCGATTTTCAATTGATTCCTCACAGACACATTTATAATATCTATAATTATTTTAATTATAGTGCACAAAAACGTGCATATATGTGCTATAATTGTAGCCAAATTTTAATTAATTTATATAATTCAACCAATTTTTGTAGTACTGTTTAGTACATGAACTTCATCGTCATGTTAATTTTCATGAAAAACGTCGAAAATTTGATTTAAGAAACTTAATAAATATCTGCTATAAGAAAGTACTGGTACGTTGACATATATCATGGACGTAGTTCTAGATATTATTTCATCATTTAAATTAATAGTAATATTTTCTTACAACTATAAATGTTTTTTAGACACCGACAACAAATTTACAAGTGCGCAAATTTTATTTAAATTCTTATAAATAAAACGATGAATTTTACAAAAAGTGAATTGCTCCCTTTTTAACATAAACACACATTTGCGTTACTCTTACTGAATGTAAACATTCAAATAACAATTAAGTATTATATCGTGTCTTCGTTGATCTCCTAGAAATCATGACTCACAGAGTAACACGCGAAAAACATAATTTATTATTGCATTGTATAGACTAATTAAATTACAAATTAAATTATGAGCATAACGCTTTAAGGAAAATATAAATACAAGCAAGTAATCTTCCTCAATGCTCGAGTAAATATAGAGGGTAAACTCTCTAACGATGTGAAAATATCTCACAGCAGAGTAGAAATTGTCTGTTTTTATAATTGATTCTCAATAATCAATTTTGAATTAATTTATTGCAATTATTATATTGCATTCCAGGCATGCACCAATGATTTAATATAAAGAGATGGTATATAATCTAGTAACATTCTTATTAGTTTATCTAAATATGCAACATCTTATAATATATATTTTTTAACTTTACATGTTTATTTTACAATTTTTAAAATAATAATATTTTATGGATTGAATTTAAATTTAAGTATTTATTAAATTGAACTTGATGATATTTTTTGGCATTATTTTTATGCCAACTTGTCGTAAGGCCGTAATATTTTAGTAAGTTCTATAAGACCATGATATAAGGCTATAAAAAACTTTCATAAAAATCGGTTTAAATTTTTTTTTCAACAGTTAATTACAAGAAAACGGCTCGGTAGATTTCCACAACTAATCAGTATCATTCCCAACGATATATCTTTCGAACAGTTTTTGATTTATTAAAATCGATTCGGTAGTATGAGCTTAAATGTGGACGAAAAGTTTAACACTTTTTTCAAATTACAAGGAAACGGCTCGGCAGATCGCACAAAACTGACAAACGATAGTCCTCATTGAGATACATCTAATGGCTTTTAAATTTCTGAAATCGATTCAGGCGTTTTTGAGAAAACGTCGACCAAAGGTCTAATTCAGACAAATGCCAAAAAACGGTACTAACTTTTGCAAATTTTGACGATTTGTTAAAGTTAAATGAGTTGCCGTAGGGCCGTAATATTTTGGTATGATCTATAAGACTATGGTATCTACCGTCAAAAAAAACATAAAAATCATCGAAAAATTTTTTAACACTTTTACAAGAAAAGAGCCCGGCCGATCTTTACCAAAAACTAATCAGGTCGATTCCCAACCTATATCTTTTGAATGGTTTTTTTATTTTTAAAATTGATTCAGAATTGCGGGCTAAAACGTCGACAAAAAATTTTTCACTCTTCTGCGATTTACAAAAAAACGGTTCAGCCGATCGTAGCGCAAAACTGACAAACGATAATCCTCATCGAGATACATCGAATGGCTTTTAAATTTTTGAAATCGGTCGAGCCATTTTTGAGAAAACGTCGATTTACGGTAAAAATCTGTTTCACACACGCATACACACATACATATTTTTTCCAAATTTGGTCTCATTCGATTCAGAATGGCTTGAATCATCAGAAAACATAAAATCGAAACGGATTTTTTTATGAAAACATAAACTTCACCTTCGAGAAGTTAACAAGCGCTTTTTGTCAGTTCTTAATATGATGAATAACAAACACATTTAATAAATTATAACATATGATAAAACAAATATAACAAAAATCGCGTAAGACTTAACATTGTATTTTCATTCAAATTTAACTGGTGTCACTTTAAACCAACTTATACACACATAAAATCTAGTTTTGATCATAAAACAGGGAGTTCCCGTCTCAATCTAAAGATTTCCATTCTTAACTGTAATATACATTTTGTAGTGTTGTATTTTCACAGTAAAATTTTTTGACAGTAAAACAATGAAAATGTTAATGTAAATAGATGCAAATTATAGTTATAATTTCATTTAAAAAAAATATTTTCAAAAATCGTGTCGAAATTTTGTAAACGAGAACCGTGTTAAATGGGAGATAGATGTAATTCATATTTTTCTTGAGGAAATCTATATTACGGTCAATATAATTAGTTTATGAATTCCGGAACTCGGAAGTGTTTTAAGATCAATGGCTATCATTTATTGTTTTAAAATTAAAATGAACTATTATCTGTGAGATCTTATTTTAAAATTGTAACAGGTTTTTTATGTAGGGCATGGCAGCAAACATGACATTAATTAAGCTACAAAACTGCTATATTGATGAAGTCGATTTTATGACAAAAATCTATGTCATGTGAATAGAAAAAAACAATCAAAAATGTGACCCACAATTTTTTATGCATGTATCATCTAATTTGGATCAGATAAAACTATATCATTTATTAACATAAAATATTAATTCATTCTTCTGGAATGTGTTCGTTAATAACACACTTTATATATAAGTATCGATTAAATTAAACGAATGTATTTATTTTTGTTGGCAATTACTTTTATATACTTAGTTTAAACGGGCTTCCAATATTGCAAAATTATGTAAAATATATTATTTGATTTAGTAGTTAATTTAATATATGTTAATAAAATATATTATTATATTTTTACTTATATATTCTGTTTCATCTTTACGTTACTATACTTTTAGAAATAATAATATATTGTAATATACCTATAGTTACAAGATAATTAATAACATTTTACAGCCTAAGATTTTTTTTTCTAAAATGGTAAAATTCATAAAATCAAAAATATGTATACGAAGTATTTGACACTCTGTCACCACATTTTGTAAGTCATCATAAATGAATATTTGAAAAAAGATATTCAGAAAATAGCCAAATATAGTTTTGAGCTATTTTTTATTTCGAATAAATTTTAACTTTTTTTAATACATTTAGTTTCAAAGGAAATAAATAATCGAGAGTTTTGTGCCAAGGATTTGGTTTTTTATTTTAATTAATGTACGCAATTTGCAGTAAATAAATTTGAAATATTTTTTTTTTAACTTTTTCACTTTATTATTCACTTTTTCATTGTTTACACTTTTTCCAAGGTAAAGGTCAATTAGGTCCCACCCAGGTATAAGCTTTTATAGAGGCTATATAAAAAAGCTGTTGAAGGTAACCTGAAATTTATAAAACAATTTAATATTATTATAAATTATATTAAGCTCTCGTAAACTAAAGAACAGTACTTACAACCAAAAAACTATCAAAGACAAAACTTTTGTTATGGACTTATATATGTTAGTTTTATTTAATTTATCTTACATTTTACAAAAATTTTGTTTTTTTCTAAAATCTCTCATAAATGGATTTTTTATAAATTAATTTTTATAGTATAAATAAATAACTAATCTTATTTTTATGAACTTTACGTTTTTTCACCACTCTATAAAAATATCAAAAATTAAATCCGAAGACAAAATATATTTTTATATGATCAATAAAGCTTATTATATTTTTTTGAACCAAGCTGGTTGAATCCTGCTCCTTTAAATTTCATTTTTTTATTTTAAAACATAGACATTTTTACTTCCAAAAATAATCCGTTTTATAAATTATATTTGCTTATTGTGTGCTAGCTTATTCATGCAATAAACTTGTTCTGTAGCATTTTACATACAATATGAAATACTGAAGAAGAGAGTAGGAGAAAGCTCAAAGAAA